GAGAAGGGACAGCATGCCAGACCCCAATGGTTCCTCTAAGGCACAAAGTCATCAAGCAAAGGGGCAAAAAGAGACTGTCCCGGCCTCTGCCCCGGAAAAGCGGCTGACCCAGCCACGCACGGGTCTCTTAGGTGGAAAACCCAGGGATGTCTTAGACAAAAGCTCATGACTCTGCTTCTCACCCACAAAATTCTCTTCCTAGTACCCCTATTCTCATCCGCCCTCTCTCTAACACTCACTTCTGGTGATTATAGCCTTGTGCCGATCCCTATGCGTTTACACTAATTATACGTCTCTCCTGAGGGGAGGGAGTATGTCTGCTCTTACTGACACGTACCCAAAGTGTCTAGCTCAGCCTTGGGCTCACCATCTCCCTTTGCTTAGTGTGGGCTTAGGGCCTGGCCCTTACTATCTGACACACTTCCATAATGGAAACGTGCTTTTCTCCATCAGGGATGGCGACCTTACATGGAGACTTCAAACTCTCCTAACAGGCTCGCCAGTGTGTCCCAGGCAAATTATCTCTTCACAGTCCCTGTGAATTCCCCTTCAATGCAGAAACCTCCTCTTTCCCCACAAAATCCAGCACAACTCTTAACCCATTTACATGAACCTGCCACCCTAACCGCTACCCAAGCCTGAACCCCACCTCCTGTCTGAACCCTTCTGACCATGCCAGCCCGCAGGGACCTATCTCTGTGGAAGTCCCTTTGTGGGACTGGCCACATCCAGACTGCACACTTGCTGCTTGTCCAGTCACATCGTGTCCTTAAGTACGAGCCCAGCTCTCCACAGACGTCATAAGCCTGAGAAGAGAGGTGCCTTTTCATAGATCCCCTCCTCTGCACTCATAAGGCCCAGGGTACATAAACACCTGCTCGGTGGGGGCTGAACTACACATGCTTTGAGAAAAAATTGTAAGGGAATTTCCCGCATAAAGTGGGCTAAGCTTTCCCTAACCGTAGCCCTTAGGATTCTGGGTCTGAGTTGTCTGACTGTTTATCTTGCTCCACATACTGTTAACCGGGAGAACAAGAACTTCCGCCCCACTCTCTAGGGGAGTACACATTTAATTAAAGTTGACAGCTATCAAGGCTGAAAATAAAAGTCTTCCAAGTGGGAACACGCTAGGCATTGAAGTTTCCTGTGGGATGATGGGGAAGTTGCCCTGCCTGTGGTCCGGGCAAACCCTGGTTGCGCAGCTCACCATGCTGTGCCCATCCTCATCGTACTGGCGCAGCTGCCTCAAGAACTCCAGGTGTTTTTTTTCCTCCTCGAGCTGGGCCACGGCCTGCTCACTGCGCTGCAGCCGCTGCTGAGTGCCTGCCAGCTCGTCCCGGAGCCACTGGTTCTCCTGGCACAGGCGGCGGACTTGAGCCCGCAGCTTCTGCTTCTCCGACTCCACTGTGCTCAGGTGGCTGGCCAGAGCCAGCATCACCTAGGTGGGGACATCACGTGAGCTACAGTCTTCTGGATAGGAGCATCCAGGGGACTTCTGAGAGACGGCCAGTCTGGGAGAGGCATCCAGGAAGCAACAAGCAGAAGTGAGTGGCAACAGCTCTACCATCAAAAGACACTTGGAGGCGCTGGAGCAGTGGTCCTCAACCTGCGACGCTGCGACCCTTTAATACAGGTCCTCATGTTGTGGGGACCCCCAACATAAAATTATTGCTACTTCGTAACTGTAATTTTGCTACTGTTAGGAATTGTAATGTATATATCTGATGTGCAGTACATCTGATGTGTACAGGAGTTTCACAACCCCTGTGAAAATGTTGTCTGACCCCAAAACGGATCACGATCCACAGGTTGAGAACCACTGGGCTGGAGAGATGGCTCAGTGATTAAGAGCACTGGCTGCTCTTCCAGAGGACCTGAGTTCAATTCCCAGCACCAACATGGTAGCTCACAACCACCTGTAACTCCAGCCCCAGGGGATCCAATAGCCTCTTCTGGCCTCTATGGGTACCAGGCACACACGCAGTACACAGACAGACATGTAGACAAAACAGCTATATACATAAAATAAATGGATTAAGTCTGAAAAAGATACTCGGAACCCCATTTTCACCACCTCCACTATTTGCATTCATCAGATGCAAACCACGGTTCCCACCCAGATCACCACAGCCTCTCCCTGGTCTCTCTAGTTTCTGCCCTTACCCTCTCATCTGCTCTCAGTCCAGAAGGCAGAAGATCTCAGACTGAGTCCATCACTCCTTAGAACATTTCAATAGCTCCCATCTCTCTCAACGGAAAAGCAAAGACCCTAGGACAGCCTACCAGCTCCGCATGATCCAGCCCCATCTCCAATGGCATCCCTCCCCCTCCTCCTCCTCCTCCCCCCCTCCTCCCCCCCCCTCCTCCTCAATTTTCTACTCTGTCTCCCCTCACTCAACATTCACTTTGCAGAAAGTCGCACCAGCCCGCCCCTTGCTAACCACTAAACTTGCCAGCCATGCTCAAAGCACTTACCCTCCCCGCTTGGGACCCTGATTCTTCCAGGGCTTGCTCCCTCACCCTCAGATCTTTGCTCAAATGCCACCCTTCGAGTGAGGTCTTTTGTGACCACTCTATATGAAGCTGCATCCTCTCTTTCTCCGTTTCTCCTTTAGTTCATCTTGCTGTCTTAGCAGTTCTCACAGTAAATCATTTCCTTATTTACCTGGGCCTGTCTCTCCCAGCTATAATATCAGCTCCAAGACGGCAAAGAATTGTACTGTTGTGTTCTGTGATGTGTCACCAGCATTCCAAAGAGGTGGCACACGGTAGGCACTTGATAAATATTTAATGAATGAACAAATCCAAGTTTCGAGGACAAGGTGACCCCCCCCCTTGCCTCGGGTGACTGACCCTCTCTGGGCTCCGGACCACTTGGCATCACCCTGACTCTTACCTGGGCCTCACTCAGTCCCAGTTCAATGTTCTCCATAGACCGCCGCAGCTGCCGGGCCTTCTCATGCACCAGCCCTTCCTCATGGCCTCCCTGTTGCAGACACTCAATGGTGTGGGACAAGCTCTGTAGCACAGCCTGATGCTCACTGTGTAGGGCCTCCAGCCCTTGGCTCACCAACCTGGTGCTGCCCAGGATCTCCTCCTGGCTGAGCCGGTGTCCTGCAGGCTCATCCCGCTGCCCCAACACCAGGCCTGACATCCTGGCTGGGAAGGCTTGCCGGGCCTAGGGAGAAACCACAGAGCTCAGCTGGTAAAGATGAGAGACGCTCTGTTGGAGAGTGTCGGGGATCCAAGTGAAGGGAAGAGTTTGGGAGACCCTGTCCGTGGCTGGGCTGACGGAAGAGAATGAGTAAGGGTTCTATGGCACTAACCATGAAACTAAGGTGAGAGATTAACTTGAATAAAGAGCTGTAGAACGAACAGGTGGGCTTCGAGCTCCAGGAATTTAGGATTTAGCGATTGGAGAGAGAGCATGGGTTGGGACAGAGAAGCCGGGGATCCAAGGTATTCCAAGAATCATAGAGGGCATTGGGAAAACTTCAAAAGGAGCAGGGTTAAAGAGAACAGAATCTGCAGAAAACAGTGTTCCAATAAAGGGGCAGGACCCAAGGTTAGGGAAGGGGGTGGGGGGATGACACGGGTCGACACAGAAGCCCTCATTACAAGGCTCCGGCAGGTTGAAGGTCTTCAGGCTGTGGCAGCAAAGGACCCAAACCCACCATCTCCCAACCTGGTTAGCTCCTTTCCAACTAACCTTCAGGCCTCCCTTGCCACCCCCCCCCTCCCAGGCTTCGGACTGTCTTCCTCCTTCCACAAACCTCATCTTTGAAGTCTCCTTACCTGCGTACAGAGCAGAGCCCTTGGCTTCAGGCGGCTCCCAGGCCTGAGCCCGGAAGAACTCTGAACTGCAGCTAAGGATTTAGAAAGATCTGCACTGCCCAAAGTCCAGAAGTCCGGCAGCCCCACCCCTCCTCTCTCTCCACTTCACAGCCACCCAGGACAAACACCCTCCCTCCTTCTGCCTAGAGGTTCTTCAGGGACTAGGACTAATGTCCTTTCTTCCGTAACTCAGTCTCCTCATTCCAGGTCTGAGGAGTTACTTTCTCCCAATAAGGAGAGACTGATTTAATCTGGGACCTGCGGCCAGGGGTGTGCCTGTGAAAGGCTGAGCAGGGAGACCTGCTTAGGATTCCCACCTGGAATAATGCAAGAGCCTCCTTTCACAGCTTTGTCGGTCATGATCACCTAACCGGTACCTTAGGGTGCCTCTCAAGCGCCTGATGGCTCAGGAAAGCACAGCAGATCTGATGGGGTCACAGGGAAAGGCGCTGGGCGCGGGCTACCCTGGCCTGGGGCTGCAATTCAGGGGTGTCTACGGTTGCTAACTGCGCTGAGGCCCCAGGTTGAGCACAGAGACAGGCAGGGGCTGCGGGGAGGAAGGTGTGAGCGAGGGCGGAAACGCTGACCAAGACCCGACAGGGGACAAGCTCGAGGTCACAGAGTCAGGCGGTCCGGCAGGGGGCGGGGCAGGCTGTCCTACTGTCTGTCTGTCTGGATGCCGAGGGGCGGGGAAGACTCGTGGGGGGCGGAGTTTTTGAGTCAGTCTGGACTTTTGTGAGGTTGGTCGGAAGTGGTTTATTCACTTGTCCCGGAGTGTGGGGATAAGAGTTGGTGCAATCTTAGCCCTCAGCCCCAGGGGTGCTCCCAAGGACTCACCTGCAGTCTGTCGGTCCGGCTGCCGCCTTGACGGGTACTGCCCCTTTAAATTCATCATGGCTGCCGCTCAAGGCAATTGTTTTGACGGCTCTGAGGGGCGGGGCCTGTCCTCCAGTCACGCGACCACAGAGGCCGCCGATAATTGGCTGAGAACTCGTTCTTCCAGGGCGGAGAGGAAGTATGTGTCCTGCGACGCTCCACTTAGGTGCCCGCCCTACGTCATCTGAAAGCGACAGTGCCGGGAATGAAACGTCATCCAAGAGCGCCGAGCTCTAAAAAAAGGTAAAAGCGTGCAGAGCCCTGGGGAGTCGGACCACCCATGGCCCTGTACGCGCTCACGAGTGCTCTGCGCTCTCTGAGCCTGACCTCCCCGGCCATTCCCGCCCGGCTTCCGACTCTGCTCCCTGCTGCCCAGGTAATCCGCTTACCTAGGAACTGGACTGTTTCCTCCTGGGCTGTCAGTGATCCGGCTAGTCACGATGACGTGACCTTGGGTAAACTCACCTTCATCCTCTGCTCTTTATAAGTATTGCTCTCTCAAAGGGCTGGATTAGTCAGACCAGATACTGGCTTGTAAGTGCTTTAGCAGATCTCTGCTAAACAGATAGCAGTCTTAACACTTATGTGCCTACTGTAAACCAGGCAAAATAGACGACTGCAATGAACGAACTCCTTTCAACCAAGTTATTATGCACATTTTGCAGATGAGAAAACTGGTCAGCAGTCTAAGGTCATACGCCTTTTAGTACTAGACTGGGTTCAGAGCTTGCTTTTGTTTTTGTTATGGTGCTGGGAATTAAACCTAGGACCTTGCACATGCTACTCACTCCTTCGACCACTGAACTACACTCTCCACCCCAAAGCCAGTGCTCTCGACCATTTTAATGTAAGGACGGCTTGTTGCTGAGATTAGAGAATGCAGAATTTAGACTTGTAGCGGGCAGTGGTGAATCACAGAAAAGAAAAATTACCAATCTTGTTTCTCTGAAGTTCCCAGGCTGAGTATGGCAGAATTTAGCACATGGGTATTTGATATTCCAAACTACTCTGAAGCACTGGGGGAAAGCAAAGTAATGGTTTCCATTCACATGTGGAAATTCAGGGAAGCATGCAGAGGTCAAAAGGCATTGGTACTGATTGACGGTGCTATACGGGTGTGTGGAATTTACGAAAAGGTTTCCTGACAAGAGCTTGAAACAGACTGGAAGATGATGAAAGGGAGAACATCACATTGGAGAAATATTTCAGAGGTGAGAGGACCAAATGATTGTCAACACATACACACACCTGGATAGACACATTACACTGGTATTTGTGAAAGCTGAAGGTTGGTGGTTTGGGGACAATGGTCTGAGGTGCTTCTGGGAGGAAGTGGCCTACAATCTAAACTCGGTCTATTCGCTCTCTCCCTTGATTCTCTGAAGAGAATATTTCTTATCCCTAGATAAGAAATCAGCTGCCCTCTGCCTTGGTGCTGCCTTCTCGCCGTCCAGTGCATATGTCTGTGGACCTTCATGCCAAGTTTGTGTCCTGGAAGAGTCGTACCAAGTACACAGTTAAACCAGTGAAAATGAGGAAGTCTGGGGGCCGAGACCATACAGGTGGGAGAAAGGACCTGCAGCATCATGGAGGAAAATGCATTAGGATCTTGGATGTCTATAGTAGTACACTACAGCTTGTAAGATGTCAAGACATACAATTAGAAAGTATTCATTGAGGTGCTTCTTATTATGCGGATCATTATTGAAGCTGAAGAATACACCTCACGGAAACAGTTAACTCGGGCTGGAGGGATGGCTCAGCAGTTAAGAGCTGTTCTTCCAGAGGTTCTGAGTTCAATTCCCATCAAACACATGGTGGCTCACACCATCTGTATGAGATCTGGTGCCCTCTTCTGGCCTGCAGGCATAAATGCAGCCAGAGCACTGTACACATAATAGATAAATAAATAAGTCTTTTTTTAAAAAAAAAAAAAAAAGAAAGAAGCCGGGCGGTGGTGGCGCACGCCTTTAATCCCAGCACTCGGGAGGCAGAGCCAGGCGGATCTCTGTGAGTTCGAGGCCAGCCTGGGCTACCAAGTGAGTTCCAGGAAAAGGCGCAAAGCTACACAGAGAAACCCTGTCTCGAAAAAACCAAAAAAAAAAAAAAAAAAAAAAAAAAAAAGAAAGAAAAGAGACCGTTAACTCACTCTACGCAGGAAGTGCCATGGTGTTTTTAACCTTCCCAAAACTCATAACAGTTGAAATTATGTGAGTCTAATTTATATCCTCTCAGAAAACTTACTGAATTCAGTAATTTGAAAAGACTTTATCTGTTTCATGCAATTTTAGTAATTCGGTTTTTATTTTATTGAGTCATGTGGTACCCCATCCCTTTTGCAAGGATGTCATGGCCCCCAAACACCCACACGATGCGGATGAAACCTGAGGCCTCGGTGCTAACAAACCAAGCTGTCTGCCCTGAGCTACACCCCAGCCTTGTCGCTTTTCTGTTCATATAATATTGAGGAGTCCTCCTGTCTAGTCTAGGCAAGGCCTGTTAATGCTGAAAGCTATTCTAACCTGAGTCATATCCCTAAACTGTCTTGACTCTAGGCCGCATCCGAGTACATGGTATTGGTGGGGGCCACAAGCAAAATTATAGAATGATTGACTTTCTACGGTTCCGGCCTCAGAAGGAAACCAAGCCAGAACCCTTTGAGGAGAAGGTTGTCATAGTCCGCTATGATCCATGTAGGCAAGTTTGGGACGTGAGGTGGTGATGGTGTGGTCTGAATTGTTGTTTTGTAGCTTCTCAGAGAACGTGGACCTTCTTGATGGTCTGCTTATTTGTCCATCATTCTGAACAGGTCTGCAGACATAGCTCTGGTCGCTGGGGGAAGCCGGAAGCGCTGGATCGTTGCCACAGAAAACATGAAGGCAGGAGATACAATCCTGAACTCTAACCATATAGGCAGGATGGCAGGTGAGACACTGCTACCAGATGCACGGGGTGGGGTTGCAAAGGGTCTAGCGCTGATGAAACTGTCTTACAGTGGCTGCTAAGGAAGGGGATGCACACCCTCTTGGGGCACTGCCTGTGGGGACCCTCATCAACAACGTGGAAAGTGAGCCTGGCCGAGGAGCCCAGTATATCCGAGCTGCAGGTATGGGAGAAGAATCTACCCACATCTCACAATTTGGCAAACCCAGGGTTCCTGATATCACTATCCTCTGAACACTTGGGACCACATCTGTTCCATGGACAGGAAAAAACAAGGCACAAGAGGATGAATGTTGTGCTGTTTCAACCTAAATCATAGTCTTCCATGTTTCATGTGCCCCTGAAGGGCACAGGGAAGCCACCCTCTCATTTGTGGAGGGTGGCAAACTGCTTCTCCCTTCCCTAGGGACATGTGGCGTCCTGCTTCGGAAGGTGAACGGAACAGCCATTATCCAGCTGCCCTCTAAGAGGCAAATGCAGGTATTTGTGGGCACACGTGGAGGGGCCGGCAAAGAAGGGTTTCTGGAATGTACCTCACCAGCTCCCAAGTGTTTGATGCCAGGAACTGCCTCCAGCTTGTCTGTTCTCTTTGCCACCTGATGAAGCATGCCCTTGTCAGGTTGGCACCTCACTGGAGTAAATCGAAATGCCTTTTCTCAGCGGGGCATGGTGCTACATGCCTGTAATCCCAGCATTCCAGACTGAGGCAAAAGAATCAAGCCTCCTGGGCTACCTGAGACCTTTTCAGGAAACCAGGAAAAGATGGATGTGGGCTGAACAGTCAGGCTGGAACTGGCTTATAATCTCATCGCTCAAGAGGCAAAGGTCGGAGGATTTTGTTGAGTTCTAGGCCAGCCTGGTCTACATACCAAGACCCTGACTCCAAAAGAAAACCACAAAAACAAACAAAAAAGGATAGAGCCTTGTAACTACTCAGCTCATCCTATCGGACCCACACTTACATACAGTAGAATTTTTGTTTTCTGTCTTCTCCCTGTCCTCACTGAGGGTAGGAAGCCGCGCAGAGCTGTGCACTCAGCACTGCCATGCCTGCCTCTTGTCCCCACGGTACATTCTGCTTCTCTTGTCAGGTGCTGGAGACGTGCACTGCAACTGTAGGCCGAGTTTCCAACGTCAATCATAACCAGCGGGTCATCGGCAAGGCAGGACGGAACCGCTGGCTGGGCAAGAGGCCTAATAGTGGGCTGTGGCAGCGCAAGGGAGGCTGGGCGGGCCGGAAGATTCGGCCACTGCCCCCCATGAAGAGTTACGTGAAGCTGCCCTCTGTTGCTGCCCAAAGCTGATACCCCTGGACTCTAATAAAATGCCCCTTGTTTTCATCTGTTATTACCTTTCCACTTTTGGAGGTCGGGGTACAGACTGAATGAGGAGTAAACAAGGATAGAGGGAAGAGAAAGGAAAAGACAGGATGGGGAAGGGGTAGAAATGACCTCCAAGGTCTTTTCCAGTTCTGGCTTTGGGGAATGGGAAGGCACTTCCGGCAGCAGGAAGGAGGACGAAAAGGAAGAGGAAAGGGCGGTGCGGTGCGGTGCTGGAGGGCCGTGTCGTCGAGGTGGCACCCGCGGCTCCGCCCGCTACCGGCCCCCTGCTTTCCTCTAAGTCAGGCGGAAACGAGCGGCGACGGGGTACAGGGAGCAGATCCTCAGAGCGCCCCAGCCGGGACCAGGCTCCGCCCCGCAACAGCAGGCAAGCAGTGCGCCGGCGCCAAGTCCCCCGCAGGCCCCGCCCTCTGCCCGCCTGCAGAGGCACGCCCCCTCTGCGCCTCGACCCCTTCGGGGGGCCCAGGCGGGGCCCAAACATTCGCCAGCGCCGCAGCCGCCATCGTGTGCCGCGCGTCCCTAGCTCTGCAAAGGACAGGCCTCGCGCCAGGATCCCGGCGGACTTCTGAGGTGGCCAGAGCCCCACCGCGGCCCCTGCCCCTATTCTGGGCTTCCGGATCGCGTCCCTTTCCCCACCATGCCTTAGGACTCTCCTTTATTGGGCCTACCCCCACCCCCATCCCATCCTGCCGCGACCGCTCCCGATCTTATCAGGTCTTGGTTCCCATCCACCAAGCCTCGCGCCCCTTACCCGTCGGACCCCTGTGCACCTTTTCCCTAGCCTCGCGTCTTTCCCCAGCCCCTGTTCTGCAATTGCTCTAGTCGTGGATGTCTCCGTTCCTGCCCCTTCGCCCAGTCCATCATGCTTTGCTGATGGCCATTTCACCTTTGGACTCAAAACACAGTGCTTCAGTTTAGAGATTGCATCCCTCTCCGACACAATCCTGTGCCTTCACACACCCCTTTCCCTGGGTTACCTTTTATCTGCCCCAGGACCTTGGGCTTCATTTGTAAATCCAACACTGCCCTATGCCACTGCCCCTCCGGCTTTCCGAACCAACTCGCTGGAGGCTGCATGCCTTGGAGACCTTTTAGCTCCGAGATTTGTTCTGAAGAACAAGCTCCGCAGTGTTCTGCCCAGCCCCGGTCTCACCCAGCCCGAGGCAGGCCCAGCTTTACCCCACCCAAGCTAACAGCTGTTGCTGCATTTGCTCCGTCAACTCCTGGATGCCCTTGATTTTCTGACCTCCCCTCTCACTTAGCTTGCCTTTTCTCTCTCTCTCTCTCTTGTGTGTCTCAGGTGCCAGGATGGTGGGGGAACTGCGCTACAGGGAATTCAGGGTGCCCCTGGGGCCTGGCTTGCATGCCTATCCTGATGAATTGATCCGCCAGCGGGTAGGCCATGATGGGCACCCTGAGTATCAGATCCGCTGGCTCATCCTCAGGCGCGGAGATGATGGGGAAGGGGACTCAGGCCAAGTGGACTGCAAGGCTGAGCATATCCTGCTATGGATGTCTGACGATGAGATCTATGCCAACTGCCACAAGATGCTGGGCGAGGATGGCCAAGTCATCGGACCTTCCCAGGAGTCTGCAGAGGCTGGGTCCCTCGACAAATCTGTGCTGGGGGAGATGGAAACAGACGTGAAATCCTTGATTCAGAGGGCCCTTCGTCAGCTGCAGGAGTGTGTGGGCACTGCTCCTCCTGCCCCACTCCTTCACACTGTCCACGTCCTCAGTGCTTATGCCAGCATCGAGCCCCTCACTGGGGTCTTCAAAGACCCCAGAGTCCTGGACTTGCTCATGCACATGTTGAGTAGTCCTGATTATCAGATCCGCTGGAGTGCCGGCCGGATGATACAAGCTCTGTCCTCCCATGATGCTGGTGAGGGGCCGTTTGGGAAGGAAGGGAGGACAGGAGAGGGTCTGGGTCGGCTCAGGGATTCACAGGACACTGTGACAGGAGCTTCTGACCTCATCAGTACGTAAATAGTTCTGTTGTCATTCACTTTAAGTTGGAAGAAAAAAAGTAGGGGGGCGGGGGCGGGGGAAATGCTTGTGGAGGGAAACTGAATAAGCAAGAACATAGTTCATTAGCTTTTTTATGCAAAAGAAGAGCTTAGACTGTTGTAGTGTGTGCGTGAGAGAGAGAGTAAACTTTGGCTCTAAAAGCAAATCAACAAATATGTCATTCCGGATGAGTGCTGGCAGAGGATTGTTATGAAGTAGAAAACTAGTGAACTCAGGGAGCTGCTTCTGATTGGAGGCGTGGGTTCCAGGGACCCGGACCCAGATCCTCCTGTCCCTGAGCCAGCAAGAGGCCATCGAAAAGCACCTGGATTTTGACAGTCGCTGTGCGCTGCTGGCGCTGTTCGCACAGGCCACCCTCGCCGAGCACCCCATGTCTTTTGAGGGCATTCAGCTACCACAGGTATCTTGTGAGGGTGTGGGGTGGCGGGAGCTGTGGACTCGTCGCAGAGGATGCTGTGGAAAGAGGGACAAAAGCGAAGACACGATGGGTGAGAATCAAAGGTGTGTCCTACAGGTCCCAGGACGGTTGCTCTTCTCCCTGGTGAAACGGTACTTACACGTCTCCTTCCTCCTGGACCAGCTGAATGGCAGTGCAGGAGAGCAAGGAGCCCAGAACAACTTTGTTCCCACGGAGCTGAATGCAGGGAGGGGTCGGCTGGAACTGGAATTCAGTATGGCCATGGGCACTCTGATCTCTGAGCTGGTGCAGGCCATGCGCTGGGACTGGGCCTCGAGCGGACCAGGGAGGTTGGCACGGTCCCCCTCTTCCATTTTCCAGCCTCAGCCAGTAGATGCCAGCTTGGAGTTCTCCCGCCCCCACACCCAGCTTATCAGGAGGTCAAGGCGGTTTCGCCCCCGAACTGAGTTTGCAAGTGCCAATACCTATGCCTTGTACGTGCGGGACCATGTGCAGCCTGGGATGCGGGTACGGATGCTGGAAAATTACGAAGAGATCACTGCTGGGGATGAGGGCAAGTTCCGACAGAGCAACGATGGTGTGCCACCTGTGCAGGTGAGGGCTGCGCGGTAGCGGGACACCGAGCGGTTTATTCTGGGTAAGGCGTAACTTCGGTACAGGGGGCTCTTACAAGCCAGCTCCGTTTAGGTCAAAAGGGCAAAGGAGTGAACAGTTGAAGGGAGGGCTGCTTGGAGAGCTTGGGACATGTGGGGACAGGAGGTCAGGAAGATGGGCTGCTTGGGGCCAGAGGGAAGCATGGAGTCGCGTGGTGTCAGGAGAACCAGGCACGGATGCACAAGCTTGTAATCCCAGTACTGGGGAAGTAGAGGCAGGAGGATCAGGAGTTCAAGGCCAGCCTTGGCTACATAGCAATGTTGAGGCCAGTCTGGACTACGTGAGACCCTGTCTGAAAGAAAATAAAAATGAAATTAGAATAGATGGAGAACGGAGGTAGAGTCGATTGCAGAAGAGGAAGTGAGGCTGTCTGTACTCCGTATAGCAGTGTTCGGGTGTTGGAGGGGGTTACGTTGTGGACAGTAGCAGGGCCTCTCTTCCCCTCCCTCTTTCCCCCCACTGTCCAGGTGTTGTGGGAGTCAACAGGCCGCACCTATTGGGTTCACTGGCACATGCTGGAGATCCTGGGCTTCGAGGAAGACATTGAGGATGTGGTTGAGGCTGCTGAGTACCAGGGGGCAGTGGTCAGTGGAGCATTGGGTGTAGGTGAGCTCTGGGAGGGGTCAGCTCTGAGCGGAGCAGCAGTGGTCTACCTGGGTGGGCAGTGACATGGCCACGCCCCGTTTTCACAGCCCCACCCTCCAGGCGCTGGAAGCCCATGACTGAGCTCTTCGCTGTGCCCTTTGTGGTGCCTGAGGAGGAAGACGCCGCCGAAGAGAGTGAGCACCTGGCCCAGGCTGAGTGGTGGGAGCTCCTCTTTTTCATCAAGAAGCTAAGTGCCGCAGACCGTCAGCAAGTTGTGCAGCTCCTTCAGGACAACCTGGATGGGGAGGTAGGCACTTCCCAGTGTCCCCAGCAGGGGCCCACAGGGGAGGAGTGTGTTCAGAGATGCAAGTGTTGATGGGCCGCCGGTTCTAAGAGGTTCAGAGCGGCGGGCAGATGTGTGTGTAGACAGATCCCCGTTCCTACAAAGTGTCTCTCAGCATCTTCGTTCAGCTGCCTGCAGGGTGACTTTCTCCCCATAGCATGTTCTGGACGATGAGATCCTGCCCGAGCTGACCGTACCCATTGAGTTGGCCCAGGACCTTCTGCTCTCTCTGCCTCAGCAACTTGACGACAGTGCTCTGAGGGACCTGTTCAACTGCTATATCTACAGGAAGTATGGGCCTGAAGCCCTGGCAAGGCAGCTCGGCTACCCGTGTCTGCTAGATGCCCAGCAAGCTATATTCCTGTTCAAAGCTGAGGCCGAACCTCAGGAATCTGAAAGTGTGGCTAGTGCAGAAGGTGGGTGTCCTGCAGATAGCAGCTGAGAGACCTGCCTTCGGGAAGGGGTCCTCACAAGGATGTCTCTGCCAACTGTTGTACCGTCTTGTCTGAAAGACATATCCTACCCAGAATCCTCTGTGTGTGTGTGTCAGAGGACAACTACAAATGTCATTCTTCAGCTACCATTTATCTTTCTTTTTATTTATTTAAATTAATTTTATTTTAGTCAGGCGGTGGTGCACACGCCTTTAATCCCAGCACTCAGGAGGCAGAGGCAGGCGGATCTCTGAGTCTGAGGCCAGCCTGGTCTACAGAGTGAGTTCCAGGACAGCCAGGGCTACACAGAAACTCTGTCTCAAAAAAATACCAAGCAAAAAACCAAAACAAAAACCCTTTTATTATATGCATGTGGGTGTTTTGCCTGTCTGTGTCTGTGTACTATGTGCATGCAGTGCCCAAAGTGGCCAGAAGAGAGCATTGGATCTCCTGGGGTTGAAGTTCAACAGATGATTGTGAGCTGCCATGTGGGTGCTGGGAACTGAACCTGGGTCCTCTGGAAGAGTATCCAGTG